AGAGTTTCAAAGCAGAAGCAGTTCCTTATAATGCTCCTTATGGCTTGTAACACATCCTCATGAGAAATGTTGGTTCCATGAAGATGTGATATCCATTGTAGCTAATGTAATATTTTCTGGAAGTTTGTTAACAGGGTCCAGTCTCCTGTTGAAATCTGTGTATCCTTCAAATAGCTGTGAGCTCCTGTGGTATATGGAAATAGGATAGTCAACACAGCCAAACAATCTCTCCATGATCGCACCAGTGTCAGAGTCAATGGGGCATCCTTGATTGCCAGATTTGTGGATCTTGGGTAATAAATAAAAGGTGCCTGGCCTGGGCTCCTGGAAGGAAGCATAAATTCTCTCCTGCAGGTCCAGAGGTAGAGTCTTACAGAGGTTGTGTAGTTCCCTCTCAAATGGTTCTGGTGGAAGAAGCCTGTAAAACTTATTGTTGGAAAGCTCTGTGTCACAAGCACAACCTGGACGTATGGGGTTGAGGACTGTGCTAGGAAAATCATGAACCAGGAGTCCAGAGCTGCAGGTTTAGTCAGGATGTAGGTAGGGACAAGGCAAGGATACAAGCCAGGAGAAGGTTCAGGTTGGAGCTAAACAAGGTGGCAGATTAGGAAGGGCTGTAGGCAACGGCTGAGCAAGGGTCCAAGTCAGAAGATAGGTGAAGGTTCAAGGGAGACAGACATATAGACTAGGAGTTCACAGAGGGGTTTGTAGAGTGGTTGAGTGGCCAAGGAATAGTAAGAGAGTGGCTGCTTATCCCGGTTGCTGTAGCCATGCTGGTCATTGGGATCAGCTGAAGGTAATCAAGCAGCTTGGAGTCAGACCTACACAGGAAATGAGGGTCAGCTTGTTAGCCAATCAGTATGCCTCCTTCTGTGATTCCTAATAGCACCTCTCAGGGGCCCTCAGACCTGTTTTCTTGGGGTGTATTCTGTGGAAAGCCTTGATCAGTTCTGAGGCATGTATTTTCTCCATGAGTTCCCATCACTGATCAGTGAGGCGACATCTTTCTCAGTCTGTCAGGTAAAATAGCTTCCCACATAGCCATTTGGAGTTTCATACCCCTCTCTGTGCCACTCCTAGCCTGTACATCTGTCTTCCATGAACCTTCACCTACCTTCTGCCTTGGACCCTTGCTCTGCTGAACAATATTTTCATACAGGGCAGTGGTGGAGTACTTTTCCTTGGGAAGTGTTTTCCGCATAGGGCTTAAGGAGAGAGATATGGAATACCAAGTGGATTTTCATGGAGTTGGAGAGCTGAAGTTTGTAACCATCAAGGTTGATCTCAATGATTTTAAAGGGGCCTAAGAATCAGTGATCCAACTTTGATGAAGGTCAGGAAGAGTGCAGGTTCTGGGCTGATAACCAGACCTGCTCACCAATGATGAAGGCAGGGATGCTCACCATGCCTGCCTCTTGTAAGTTTCTTTAGCCTTTTGTAGATGTTGTAACTCATGCTTTATGCGATGGATGTAGATTACAAGACCTAAGACTACTGGGATGGAGAATGAACAAGGAGATGGGGGTGGGTACCTGGGTCAAAACCATAATTGAAAAAGAAAGGGTTCTGTCTGGGGTAAAGTAGGTGACCATTATTATAGGTGAACTTGGCAGCTGGGTGAGAGCCAGTTGTTTTGGTAATAGTTGATGAAACAACATAAATATTGCTTGAGTGTTTGGTTTACTGTATCTGCCCATTAGCCTGTGGGTTGCATGTAGATGAAGTTATCAGTTTTTACTTTCAGTAACCCAAAATGTTCCTTCCAGAAGTGAAACATGAATTGCTAGCCTCTGCCAGACACCATTTCCATTGGCAGGTTGTGGAACCCAAAATATGATCAAGGTAAAGAGTTTCATGGTCTCCTGAGTGGCAGAGACCACCTGGGCTACAATAAAATAAGCCATCTTTGTTAGAGAATCCACTACCATAAAAATTGTAGTATGTCCCTTCAAAAGGGTAACTCTGATAAAGTCCATGGATATAATCATCCAGGGTTGAGTCAGGGTGTGTAGGGGTTGGAGAATCCCAGGGGTTTGGTATGAGGGCTATTGGTGAGGGCACAAATGACTTGACATATCTTTTAATGTCCCGTACAAAACTGCCATGAAACTAGTTCAGAGGTCTAGGGACCCCAAAGTGACCTGCCACGGGGACATCATAACAAAACTAGAGGATTTCAAGCCTTGGGTGTCTGGCAGGAACATAGATTATCACTAGTCCGTTATTGAACTGAAAATCTTTCCACAGAGGAAGCTCCAGGACCGGGATCTGCTGTTATATTTGTTCGACATACAGGTCTTGAAGAGAAAGGTCTTGGATCATGGTCATTAATCCCTATTCCTGAGTCCCAAATAGGAAGTGGGATGGGTTCAAGATGGTGGAAGGGAACATTGGATTCCTCTTGCCAGGAGAGAGCGCTTTTTGTACCACAGCAATACATGATTACAAAATCAAACTAGTTAAAAGATAAGGACCAATGGATCTGGCATTGCTTCATACAGTTGGCAAAACAGAGCTACTCAAGGTTTTTGTGATTGGTGAGGACTTGCATGGGAAACTGGGCTCCCTGAAAACAGTGATACCATTCCTCAAACACAGCTTGTTTGCCAGGAGCTTCTTGCCCCACATAGTGTAATCTTGTTCTGAAGGAGCCTGCTTCCTTGAGACAGAGGCAGTAGATTTCCTGGTCCCAAGTGCTGCAGCAAGATTGCTCCTAAATTGGAAGCACTGGAAGGGTTTTTGTAGGGTCAGGGTGGACAAAGAGAGGAGCTAGAATGAAAGCCTTTAGGTGCTGGAAGGCTTCCTGAATTTCTGGGGTTCACACAAATAGTGCCTTCTTTTGGTTGAGGGCAGTGAATGGGAACACAGTTTGTGAAGAACCTTTGATGAGATACCAATAAAAGTTAACAAATCCCAGGAAGCATTGAATCCCATAGAAATCCCTTGGGGAAGCTCAGCCTGTGACAGCTGCCCATCTAGGGCACCTTTAATCCTCCCAAAGAAATGGTATATCCTAATAAAGATATGATGGTCCAGTTGAATTCACATTTTTCATGTTTGGCATACCAATGATAAAACTATCTCTCTCAAGGACCACATAGATATACTGATCATGGAATTCCTAGATTTCAGAAAAAATCAGCACATAGTCAAGGTAGATAATCACAAATTGGTCAAGGATGTCTCAAAATACATTATTCACAAAATGATGGGGAGCATTACAGAGACCGAAAGGCATTACCGGTTATTCAGTATGTCCATAATGTGTTTGGAGAACAGCCTGGTTGTCCTCATCCAGAATCTGAACTAGATTATAAGCTTCCTGTGAATCCAGCTTGGTGAAGCTGGGCATCATGTAGGTGATCTAATAGTTCTAGAGGAAGGGGGTAACTGAGTACCAGGTAGTCAATATGAGGCTGCAAGAATCCATATTTTTTTTCTTTGAAAAGGATTTAGGGGCCTCTGCTGAGGAGGTCAACAGGTGAATGAATTCCTTATCCAGGTTGTTCTGTAATTACTCCCTTAGGGTATGGAGCTCCAGGTATGACAGTAGATTTGTTCAAAGGGCTGCACATCAATAGGACCGTTGTACATAGAGCAGAGGGTCAAAAGATCCACTTGGTTTTTGTTGAAGAAATCTGCCAGTTCGCAGTACTTGGGATGTATGGACAGTAGGGTTTCTGAGTTCAGCAAGTCAGGAGCTCAGATAGTGGTGAACATTGCTAAGTGAGATGGCACAGAAGGTTTCAGGTCTGGGGGCTTCTGAAGTGCAGCCTGTGTCATCCCAAGACAGAAGCAGTGACAGCATACAGAGCCATTCCACCCACTGTGTTTGCCACTGGATATGAGTCTCAAAACAATAATAAAAAGTGGGGACCAAGTCAGGTTAAACTGGAGGATTTCCTAGTATATATAGTTACCATCAAGGCTAGGGACAGACATTCAAAAAGCCTGAGCCTGAATTGATTCAGTATTTTCAGGTTAGTCTAACCTGGCTAGGCTGAACTGGTTTGTAACCAGACAGACATTCTCTCTAGACTGAGGAAATGCAGGCACATGCCTGCAGTGGCTCAGGCTAGAAGCGGGGGGGCACTAGAGCAGCCCTTCCTTCCCTTCCACAGAGCTGAGCTGAGTGGGGCATGGCCAAGTCCCAGCAGGACTTCTGATTAGGGAGGTCTGCCTGCACCATTCCAGGCTTTTCCCCTTGGGCTACTCAAGGGGTGGGAGTGTTATCAGCCCCCAGCCCTGGGCTAGCACTCTGAGGCAAGAAGGGGTGGATGGAGTGCATGCATCTGTTGATGATGCAAAGCTTTTCAATCTCCATCCCTGCTTTGTTATACTGTCTGCAGCAAACTGACAGGCAACCAAGTCAGTAGGGGGCTGATAAGTGTTTATCACCTCATCAGCAAAACAATAGCCTCTCTCCATTAGTTCAAACTCTTTTCCTACAACTGACCTGTGGGTTAGCTCCAAAAGCCGTAAGCAGTCACTGTTCTGTCTGCCTGTTCCAGTGAAATTGGAGACACGCAGATGCAGACAACTCTCAGGATTAGCTAGCATACCAAGTGCGTAGGGTCCCATGAGGCTGGGGTCTGTGCTGTGGGAGATAGGAGGGAGGGAGGCGGGGATTCCTGCTTGAGCAGCAAACAGCGGCGGGGGGGAGTAGGGCAGGGGGAAGCCAGGTAGATCCTGCTGTGCCTGCAGTCTCTGCCAGAGCTCCAGCCAGGGAATGGAGGGGAGGAGCCAGGTCTGCTGAGCAGAGAGCCCTGCCCAACCCAGAGGGCGTGCCAGGATGCTGGGGGAGTCTGGTTTATCTTAACCAGCAAGGGGTCTGGGATAGACATTGCATAAACCGGTTTGAGCCAAATCAGTTAAGTCTGATACTACATTCAACCAGGTTTATCTCAAACTGGTTTATGTGCACTGAACATCTGTTCTGTTACAGGTTTAAACCAGTTTCTGATCATTTAAACTGGTTTATGTGTAATGTCTGTCTGTAGCCCCAAGGAGCAGTTTCCATGGTGATGGAGCCAAAGGACAGAGGTGATTCATCAATGGATTCCATGGATTCTGGAGTAGGTTTGGGTCTAACAGAAATACGGTGGGACGTGGCAAATTCAAAATCCTTAAAGTTGTGAGATGATGAAGTTTCAAATTCACCATGGCTGGCTGGTGGAGGACAGTCATGACTGGATGTTGGAGGGTAAGAAAAATTTGTAACTGTGTGAGATGGGGTCTAAGTGCTGCAGGAGTATGTAAAGATATTCCTGTGAGGCTTGAAACTACAGTGAAGGGTTGTGGGTTGGGTGTGGGGGGAGTGTTAGTGAGAGCAGGCTTTGCAGAACAGATGGCAGCAAAGTGCCCAGCACCTCCAGATATAAAGACTAATTGCCCAACATTGATCTTTCTCAGCCTTGTGGCCAAGCAGTATCCACCTTCATGGGCTTACTAAGAGAATGGTCAGATCATGGATCCAGTACTACCAGTGTAGGTCCTCTTCAGCCTAACTCAGCACTCGCACTTCGTGTTATGTGTGTTGTTTTGTCCATGACAACAGTCTCCCCTTTATCATCCTATTGTATAATATCAGCTTAGTTTTTAAGGCTGATGATTGCTCTTCATTCTGCAAAACTGCAATTGTAACATAAGTGTTGATTTTGTGATAGGCTTCCCAGTTAGATGTGGAGATTTCCTCTTGGTAAATGGCTGTTATGTGTTTCTGTATGCTAATTTGTTCTTGTTTGCTGTATAGAACCCTGATGAGGGTTTCCTCAGTTTCTCAGATTAGGCTCTGTGGTTTGTAAAGCAAAGTGGATTTGTCACCTGGATTTCCTTGGGTGTGATGATCAGTTGCTTAGTTGGTTAGTACAAATCAGATTTTATTTTACTTCATAATATTCTGGGACATAACTATTACTTACAGGATAGGTTTCTAGAGGAAATTTGGGCTTAATGCTCAGTCTGTGAGCTTTTGTGCTTCTTTTAATTTAATAATGAATCTAAACTGAAAGTGAATGTGGTGATGGACTTGCTTTAGTGCTTTTGGTTTAAATGGACAGTTTCATAATTGGGGAGAAAGCCAATGACCATAACTCTGCTTTTAGATGTACATTGTTGTATTTTCATCAGTGAATTATTAACTCTGCTTTTAAAACTCTTAAAATGTAGATTTAAATCTAATAATATTGTTTCTTTTATAGAGGGGCAATTAAGGCATACAAAAACCGGTGAGCCATTTGTTTTTAACTACCGTGAAGATTTGCATAGATGGAACCAAAAGCGCTACGAAGCTCTTGGAGAGGTATATGCAGTGTGAGTGTGTCTGTGTGTATGGGTGGGTGCATGTGTGAGAGAGAACGTTCCTCTCTATGATAAAAAAATAAAGATAGAAATGAAATGATTTTAATTCATATTTAAAAAAAGATTAATTAAGACTGCAGTCATTTTGCACAAGATGTTTCAGGATTTGTGGCACACCAATGCAATAACAGTAATTTAAATTCTTTGATATTTTTAATTTAGCATGTAGTAAACCTGGACTATTACCTTTGACCTTTTTTGTGTTTAATTTAAAATATAGTTAGGACTGTGCAAACAGTAAATACTTTGTAAAGTATCAGATGGTTTTTAATATATAATTTCTCCAATATTTCTCTCTTTCAGCCAATATGTGAAAACATAGTTCATGTGATATCACTTTGTATAAAGGAGTATGTTGACTGGTACCAATGAATTCTTTTCCTGGTTCCAGTAGAATGATAAGAGTAGTCAGATTTGCTGAAATAGTTAATGGTTAAGTCATGGCAAACAGTTAACTTCTTCCTTTTGCCCATGGTGCTTTCATTTTAGATGTGATTTATTGTCTCTGGTGTTTATGTGTATTTACATTAAAAGTAAAAACAAACTTTTAAGTGATTATAATACTTTCTCTTGAAGTTTAGAAAGCGATTGCATTAGCTGGACATGACGCAAAGTCCTTGGCTTCATTAAACATAAGAAAATACATGGCTGGTTCTGTATTGCTCTGTCTTTATCCTTCCTGCCCAACAGCAAAAGTGATTTGAGCACAGTGACTGCTGAGTGCTTGGTTCTGCCATGATCATACTACTTCTTGGAGTCCTTCTCTGAAAAGGAATTCTTAGCACAAATCAGTGCTTTTTCTTAACGTCTGTTTTTAAGCTTGATATTAGAATTGGCCATGGCAAAATATGTCAGAAAATTCTGTGAACCACCTTTGCTTTTGCTCCTTGCACCTTGTCCCCTTTTGCTGGTGGTACTGCATAATAAAGAGTGCCAAATCAAATGTGTTGTTTAAAATGCTTTGCTCTCCATTCCCTCTGTTAATTCTAACTACTGGAGTGGATTGATTATAAACATACTAGAACACATTTTATCTTTGTAGTATTTTCTTCCTGTTCAAGTATAGCAAAGTTAAAATATCAAACAGATTCCATATCCAAGTGTGACAAAGAAACAAGTATAAACCATCTTGAACTAATTTTTTGGACAGAGTAATTAAGAAATGTAATTAAATTTATTGGAAAAGAGGGTTTGTTTGTTTTTTGTTTGTTTTTAGTTTATCTGGTGTTTGTGCTGGTTCCAAGGGTGTACTTACTAGAACTAAACATATATACTTACATGGTCTTTACTAGTTATAACAGGAATTTTTTTGTGTTCCAAGGGGAAAAGATTTCTTAGGATGATATCTGTTATTGGACCAACTATAGACATAGACATAGATCTATAGTTAGTCCAATAAAAGATATTACCCTAAGAAATCCTTGCCACTTGCATAATTTCTGAACCATGACAGCTACAACATCACTATTCTACATTCTGAGAAATTCTGTAGATGCTGTACATGTACAATGTAATATACAGGCACTGTACATATGTAGAAATATAGGTACATCTGCAGAAGTAAGCAGAGTGGCTGTCGTCTTTTCTTCCTGATTGACTGGAGAGCACAGATGGTTGGACCCACTGATTTTGTAGACTGGAAAAGAGGAGAAGGAGTTCTTGTAAAGTCAAAGGAGTATGGTCTGGGGTGCTCTACTCAAAGTAGGGCTAACTGAACATAAAACAGGATTTTGGAGCAATTTTTATTGGTCAAGAGCAGGGCTCAAAAGAAAGGAAACTCTTCCTGCAGATTGGAGAGAAAGGGCAGGTGATGGAGAAAACCCCCCCGTACCGTTTCACATCCCAAACACATATGATACTTTTTGTTGGTGCACCTCCAGTCAGAAAATATTTAATTTATGTAGCACAGAAATGGGGAGCCTTTAAAAATATATATATATATAAAATTTTGAAACACCTAGGTCGGAAAAGTCTTATGGATTTGAAATAAACCAAATACAATGTAATTAAATATATTATTGCTGTTTTTACACTATTGCAAAAGTCTGGTCCTAACTCCGAAGGTAGGGGCCTTGAACATAATGTAAGTCAAAACAAAGTTACTTTAAAATGTTAATATTATATTACTTATACTTTCCAAATCTTTCATATTGTTCCATGGTTTCCATTTTTTTTCTGCTCAATTTTGTGGTGCCTATTTTCTGTTGGCATTTAGCTGTATTGTTGTAAATGAGCTCAAGCACTATTTAAGCTTTAAGGATCTGATACAGGCAAGGACTTTCTAGTCCTTAAACTGTTAGAAAATGCCAAATAAATTGATCATCCATGCTTAAATAAAGGGTGCATCCAATAGTATGTTAAATGTTAAGACTGCAAAGTAAATATTCAAAAAAATTACTAAAAGTAAGGTTGCAACTCCTTGCTAAATTTTAAGTTCTAGTTTCAAGCATGGTGGCACTGAAGTTCTGAGTGACACAAATTTAATTTAAAAAAAAATGGTAAAACTGATATTGTCCCATAGCTTCATTTTTGGAAATGAATTAACTACATTTTCTTTAAACTGAAAAAAAATCTTTTGACAGATGACAGAAATTGGTAAATTTAATTTCAGTTGGTAAGCTTTACTATAGGCTCAAATGCCTATACTACCTCAAAGTTTGAGGTTGGCTTCCTTTTCCCCCACTATGTTTGGACCCAGAAATCAAAAGGTTTGTTTTCAAGGAAATGTCCTTAATAAAAACGGTGAGGAATACAGAGAAAATGTAATAAACTTGAATATATTTTTACAATTACTTTGTACTGTCAGAAAACATTTAACTGTTAATCTGTTTACCTTCACCATTTTTTTGAGATCAAAGGAGATGGGGAGACAATCAATCATATTTTAGTGTGATAGTTTAGGAGAGAATGAAGACCACTTAATATTACCTCAGAAAAGTTAAATTTAAATATAAATGCATGTCTTGGCTGCATGCAATATTCATTTGCATATGTTAAATCTACTTTAAAAGTCTGTGGCTTTTAAAGACTTTTTACTGAGGATATTATGTCAGATGTGCATCAGTGAACTTTTCTAGTTTGTAGGCAGCAATTGGCAGTAGGTTGGTTCATCAGAGTGACATGACAGTACTCAGAGGGTCCAGAGATAGTTTCATAATTATTGTTAGCATCTTTCTTGAAAGAAGTGATGATTGTCTCATAAAACCCAGATGGGAGTATGTTACATTGTTGATAAATGTGTTGATAAATGTGTTTTACATTTTTAAATTGATAAACAGTGAAAAGCAGAGCAGATACAATAAGGCAGATGGTTGTTTATAGAACCACTGGCAAGTTGCTGTGATTTGAAGAATGATACTTATTGTTTTAAAGAAAAAAAAGAGAAATTTTGGGAGGGGGTTTTTAGCAGGGTAATCATGAGCTTTTTAAAAAGAAAATGTTCAGCAGCTTTAGATCAGTCAGATGCATTTCTCACCATCTTGGATCATACACAGTAGACTTTGAGGATGTCAGGATTTAGCAAGCTTCTTGCATACTATTCTCATGTAGTTGAAAGACTTGTGGATAAAAATCAAGTGTGAAATCTTCCGATATTTTAATAGCATGCTCATTATAGATGTGAATAACATGTAATTTTGTTCAGCGTCTATTTGTTCATTTTAGTTGTATTGTTTTGAAATACAAACTTTTATCTAAATATGTTACCGTCTGCTTTCTATTGCTTCTGGGAAGAAAAGCAGATATTAATTACACAGCAAGATGATATTTAGTTATTACTTGTCTTATTTAATTGTTCACATTGCAAAACACAGAATAGGACATCTAATTGAAGATTCATAAGAGAATTTACAACAAACAAACAAGAATGAAGGCTATAAAGCCTGCCTACTATTTCTGGGAGAAGAGGTGAACAAAAGAAGTTGTTTTTCTATTAGCTAGAAAGTAAAGGCAGTATATATGCAAAAGAGACTTAGGACAGACTACTGATCAAGATTTACTCTGGTGCCATCTTCACTTTGTGTGTTTCATTCTCCGTGTTGCTGATGGAAAAGGGAAGTTCCTATGTGGAAGATACATCCAACTGCAAAAAAACCCCAAAAAAACAAAAACCAAAAACAAAACAAAACAAAAACCATAAATTTTTCCATCATGACCTTGCAATAATTACATCTTTAAAAATATGCTAATATTTAATATCTATCTTTTTATCTGAACTGTTAACTCAAAGTTAATGAAATGTTTATACTTTACTGAAATATCAGTCTATTCCCAGAATCAATAAGGTTAATAGTTATCTACCATCAGCAGTAGACTTCCCTTTTACAATTTTCCTGAACCATATTGAGATATAGAAGAACACTTGATATTCAGATTCAATAGACTAGGACTTTTGCTTTATACAAGATCCACCTGTTGTGTAGGATTTTTCCACTGGGGTGTCTTGGTAGAATTAGCTCTTTCTTGTTTCAGGTATATTGTTTTGTATGCTTACCCTTCTCCTGAAGGATTCTCTTTGTTTTACCTGTCTAATTTCACCGAGAGTGATTTAAGGGGGCTGATACTGATAGTCAATTTTTAAGGAGGCATATTGGCTGATAACAATCTGATTTCCAATTCAGCTGCATCCAGCTGGGAAGTCTGCTGTGGTGGAAGGGAAGTGGGGTGTGGGAGGGCAGATCAACACTCCACACAGTGAGGGAGGGAGTGGGGCAGGGGTTGGGGCAGGGTGCAAGATGAAACTGTGGCTCATCCGAGAGGCACAGGGGAGGGAGGCATGTGCCCCCTGGAACTACACAGAGCAGGGTGGGTGGGCTGTGGCTGTGGACTGGAGCTGGGGCTGTGCCAACCTCCTCTCGGTGGGGGTGGGGCTCAGAGTGAGTGATGGTGGCTCTGGGAGGTACTTGGGGGCTGCAGCCACCCCAAATTTCACTGTAGTTCTCC